ACTAGTAATGACCCCTTACTCAAACTGTTGAAACTAGTGTTTAAAAATTCCGATTAAAATTGAGTTTTTTTGATATGAAAAACTAATCAAGTGAAAATGGATTTCGTATAGGAAGAGCAAATAGTTTACTTAGTGTGGATGGGACACTTGACAGCCATTTGTTACCATGACGAATACGGTTTTGCTGCAATTGAAATTCAGTTCTGTTCAAGTGAAATGCAGCGCCGCGCAAACGGTCGAAAATGACAACAACAACAACCACAGCAAGAACAACAACGACAATAAAATCAAGACCAATATAAACAACTACAATTACAACTACAACAACAACGACATTAAAAACAAGACCAATATCAACAACTACAATTACCACTACAACTACCACAAGCAACAACAACATCAACAACGACAGCAACAACAACAACAAGAGCAACAACAACAACAACAACAACAACAACTTTGAAAAAAATGTACTGCTTCGAGCTGCGATGAATGATAATGAAATGTTTCTTTAAACTGTTTGGATTTGATAACGGGAGCATTTGCACAACAAATCAACCATCGCCTTTCTGAACTTTTTCATTTTCAATGCGTAAATGGCTGAGTTGATGAAGGAATTTGAGGCCTGAATGACTAGAGCACACGCTGAAACATGCGCAGAAAATTTGACGTTCTTTTGTTGCAGAAYAACGACYACAGAAATAGGAATCCATGTTAGAAAMGAAGCAAACGTGACGAGCATTAGKGTGTACGCCATGTTTYTTTCACGTATTCTATCGGCTGAAATCTGTTGGTGGTTGTGCATCTTGTTTTGATATTTCACTTTCAAAAATATTGCTGAATATGAAATGATAAGAATCAAAACTGTCATGATAGTCATGGTGAAGTAGAAATAAATCAACAYGTACGTGTATTTTTGAGGTGTTAGGTAGTGGACGATAGCAACACATAAACAAAAGCCCCAAGCAATGGCAATTACAATACCATACACTCTTAATCTARTAGTACGGTGACGGAATGGTAAAAAAGTTGCCAAAACGCGCTCAATGGCCACAAGATTCATACTTGATGCGGAGGCAGACGTACTAAAGATCATAAGAGCTTGAATTACCAATAGAAATTCTTCTTGATGCTCATAGTCCTCGTTTCCGCTTTCAGCCTTCGATTTAAATCTGTTATAAGTGCAGTTAATAAGAAAAAAACAGCCATAYAGGATGTCAGACACAGCAAGATTAATGATGCAGTACACAGCTCGACTAAACAGATGTCTGTTTACACTGAACGTTAGGATGGTAGCAGCGTTGATAAAGATGATGAAAACAGMCTCCATTGAAAACACGGGAAACCAAACATGTTCTTCATCTCGGCTTAAAGGCACAAAAGCGCTTATTTTTGACTTTTCCGCCATTTTCGCTTCTTCTTTGCTTTTACTTTAATGAAAATGATGTTCGAATGGTGGACAGTTCGATAGTTAATGCAACCCTTATCAATGTCACGCTACAATAGTCACAGGCTTTGTTGGAAAGTAAAACTTCCAGGACTCAAAATGAAAGTGTTTCGAGCTTATATTGCCACAGCTGTAATGGAAATTAAAACTTCCACGAAATAAAATGAGTATTGTCAATTAAGTGTATTAATTAATTAAGATTTTGTTGTAGCTGAAAACAAACTATTCCATTGATAATTTTTGACCATTTTTTCAAGTGTTTATAAAAAAATATGTATGCTAAACTTTTATTTTTTAAGTCAATGATTGTTATTTTTTCAGTGTTTAAATCTCCTTACGTCAAAGAAGATTACCAAAGACTTCGAGCAAATGGTATTAATGGCTGCTCTTTCTTCCATTCATTTCATCCAGTTTCATTCTTTCATTCAATTCATCCATTTTAATTTGTTCGTTGATCTGTTTTCCCATTTTTTCATTCCTTTCATCCATTTATTCATTTGTTCAACTTTACTTCCCACTTTGCAAATTGTCACAAAACTCATACAATATATTATAATGTGTGATTTTCCGACTCAAATTATAGACTCAAACTCCAAAAACACAGCCCAACCACAGCACATCAAAAGATGACTCGATCACTCGATCTGAATACTTCATTCCAATTATGAAAGAAATACGAAAAAAGTAAGTTTTAATCTTCAGTGATGATATCACAAGGGTCACAAGGCTGGGCTGCCTGTGGTTTAAGTAAGATATGTCTTAAGCGTAATTTGATACATTCTTTGTTTAAGTCCTGTCATCACGAAAGCAGGGTACCTGTCAATCATGGACGATAGCTCATGTCGATGGAAAAGACTTTGGGTGGTAAGTCAACAACTTTACGAAAAGCTCGAAAGGAGCTAGATTCCAGACCCCTCGCGACATGAATGTAGCTAAGGTTGCTTGCAGTGATAGAAACCATTTTTTTCTAGCATGATTGATCACACGTTTTCCATGGACTATTTCTTTATTCATAGGTTGTACGCAAGCCCTATATTCTCTTTTACAGCCACG